GGAAGATTACCGCACACACGGCCGCCGCCGATCACATCTCTCAGGGGTCATGTCCAGCTGCGTGCTGATTGGACGCCATTTGTCGCAGGAGATCGGCCTGAGCGTCCAGCATCTGTGTGAGCGTCCGGAGAACCTTGTCCTGATGTCCTGCAGAGAGAAGAGACGATCAGCGACGGAACAATCCGGAACATTGTATCATACACCATACAATCTCTGCGTCCCACCGGGGGAAGATTCACCCTCACGTGTGTTCTGGTGTCACCGAGACAGGAAGCGATACAAAACCCAAAACGTTGTCACCAGAACAGGAAGTGAGAGGAAATCTTACAATGTGTCCTCCCCTCCAAGGGACTGTGTTGCCAATAGCAACCAGTGACCTGCCCCCCGTGTGGTTGCCGGGGGTTACTCACCGTGCAGGTACAGGATGTACACTAACAGGCTGATGTGGGCGAGGGCGGCGATCACGAAGAAGGCGATGAAAACGTTCATGCAGCAGAGTCCGCAGGGGCCGCACGGAGGGCCGGGGGCAGACTCCACGCTGGCGGGAATCTCTTTGTGCGGCCCGGCGGGGGAGGGGCAGACGATGGCGGAATCTGAAACGAAATTGCAGGTAAGGGTCTGACGAGTTGTAAACATGGCGACCAGGGGGGGGCGGGGGGCGTGGCCGGATATCTGACACTGTGGCCCTGAGGGAAAAGCGGGCCCCACAACATCTGACGGAGAGGGGAGATTTGCCGGCCTGCCGAGACCAATGCGCGCTCCTCCCCTTCCCCCGATGTCTGTGGAGGCCGGTCATTCATGCGGTGCGGTCATGTGATCAGCAGTTGGTACATTCTCAGACGGCCACTAGAAGGCGGACCTCGTACATTGGAAATATGGAACAGCAATCGTCACGTCTGCTCAGCTGCAGAAGCAACTTACCCCTGGAAACTGTTCAAATGGCAGCACTACAGGGAGCGACTTGTCTGCCTTCTATAACCTGCCGAGGTGACTTCCTGCCCCACCCCCGGGTCACAGCCCATTCTGCCCCTAACCCCCCCTGGTCCAGCTCCAGGGTCACAGCACATTTTGCCCCTATCCCCCCCCCCCCAGCACCGGGGTCACAGCCCATACTGCCCCTAACCCCCCCTAGTCCAGCACCGGGGTCAC